AAGGGTTTTCACTCCCAGTGGCTGGGAGTTCTCCCCTCTTGAGTTCAGCTGCTCCAGCTTCTGGGTCGGAAGGGCCCTGGAGGTAGAGAGGTTGGGTACAGGGACCCTTTGCCAGGGCTCTATGAGGTAACCATGACCTCAGCCTGCAGCTGAGCTCCGAGCATCAGAATGCTTGCCCAGTCACCCTCTTCAAGGCAGTTCCCAGCACTGAGGCTTCTCTCTCTTTCCTTCTTTTTTTGTGGTGGAGGTGGTTTTCCGGTATCAGGAATTGAACTCACGACCTCGCGCTTGCCAGGCAGGCACTGTGCCACTGAGCTAAATCCCCAGCCCTCTTTCTCTCTTTCTTTCTTTTCATTTGCTGAGCTGCAGACAGCACAGCGTGGGGCCCACTTGCTATTAGTGTACTGCCTTGTCTCTCCCTAGAAGCTGAGTGGACAGAATCACAGTGTACTTTTGTCAAGAGCCTGCCGACTATTGCAGAGCTGTCTCTGACATAAGCCCAAAGATGCTGTGTGTGAACATACTCCTTATGAACTTCCTGTGGCTTTTTCCCAGCGAGAGGAAAACAGAAGAGTGCTCCTCGGGAGGATTCTACACAGCTTCCCAACTCTGCCTCCCCGCTTTTAAGGCCTTGACCTGCTTCTGGTGCAGTCAGTAATTCGGGGTGCCTTCTCCGCTAGTGAGGACTCTATATGCTTGTTGTTAAGCTTGTTTTGAAAAGTACTCTGTGGTTCTGTTGAGGATTTTTTTTCTATTACATTTCTAAACCTTTTCTTTTGTGCTTTCTACATGAGCCTGTGAATAAAGAGACTACTTCGTGAGGTTGTGTCCTCCCCCGTCATTCAGAAGGTCCAGGTGGGGTCCCCAGAGTGCGAGGGGCTCATGAGGAGTTTCTCACCGTTCTTCCCCGAGAGACTCCTCAGCCCACACTTTGCCAGTGCTGGCAGAGGGAAAGGGCAAGGACATTCTTCTCTTATTGCCTTCTTCAACAGAAGTGTCTCAGTTTACCTATTTGGTGTGTGCAGGTGAAAGGTTCATTAACAGCGGTGCAGGGTTTCTGAACCCTGAACCATCCCAAGACCCTGGCCCTGCCCCGACTCTGAGGCCACCTTAGGGTGTCTCTGTGTACCCAGCCTGAACGTACCAGATGGCACACTCCAGCCACACAGTGCTAGTGTGTGCCTCAGCATGCCCACAGCCTGCCCTCCAGGACTGCAGACTGAGCCCCATGACCAGGGGCCTGTCCTGTAAAAGTGCTGGACGCTGAGGCTGGTAAGCTGCTCCTGGTGACAGTTCTGTGTCCGGTGGCTGGGAGGACCAAGCACTTGTCTGGCCTCTGGACACAGCACCTGCAAGCTTTTGCCAGGGCTCTCTTAGACACAACCTTCTGTCCTTGCTGATTTTAATCCGTGTCCTTTTGCATTTGTGAGCCATAATTAGTGGTATAGTAGTATTCTGAGTTCTCGGAGTCCCCTAGCAAACCTTGGAACCTGAGCATATTCTCGGGACCTCAGGCCAGGAGAAGAGCTTGGTATTTCACAGGAATATTTAGAGAAAGGAACTGATTATTCTCTAATCTGCTGCACTCTTCCCTTTTAAAGAAAATTGGTATCGAATGTTAGTTTATCGAGCACAGCATCATTTTTGCAGGTGTTTACTTGATTTTTATTTTATTCCTGCAGTGGAACAGATTGGCTGATTTCCTGATGTTCTTGTCTTTCTTGGCATTGTTCAAGCTTGCTTGTGCTGTATTTTCTTAACACGCTGCTGTCTTTGCTCTGTGGACGACTTAGCTGTGATTTTATTATGAGTGGTTCATGTTTCATCTGGGTCATACGTGGGCAGATCTTTGTTTTAACTTAAAAGTTCAAGCAGCCTTTCTAAGGGTTGGCATTTCCTGGCTCCTCCACAGGACACTGCCCCCAGCGTGGCGTTTCTTGCTGATGGCTCCCCAGCCGTTGTGTGTCCAGGGCCGTCTGCCGGAAGCAGGGGCGCCTTCAGCCTGGAGTTTGGGGTACCTTTCTTTTGTTTTTCCTATGCTTTCAAGTTCCGTTTCTTGTAATTGTCAGGTTGCCATCCTGTAATTGTCCCTCTCCTCTCTACTTGGCTCCTTTGTGATGGCTCTGGGCTTGGCAGCTGTGTAATTAAGCTTGTTACACAATGAGTTACAAACGAGACTAGATGAGTGCGGAGAGCCTGAGGTCTTGTGCGCTGGAGGAAAAGCATGTGTTTCACGCCACAGGTTTTTAAATACCCTGTTGGACTTTTGGAGGGATTTTCCTCCCTCGCTGGCTGTTGACTGTCCTGGAGAATTAGGTCGTAAAGTTGGTCGGTTTGTCCATCCGTCCACCTGCTCACTCTAGATGCTGCTCATTGACGGACTCCGCGGTGCTGAGTACCGGTGCTGACCTGCAGCAGGTTGTGGTTCACACAGCAGCCTCCGCAGGGCAGAGCATGGGGGGAACAGGAGGGATATTGTCAGGGAGACTCGCTGAATACTTTCGAGTTTTATTCTTTTGGAATTTTAAAGCACTAATGGTGAGGACGCTGTGCAGAGAGAGATACCATGCCTTCCTGGTGTTACGGCTTGTGTGTAGATGTCCCCCCAAAGCCTCATGTGTTCAGGGGGGTGGGCTACTAGAGTTTGTGATTGATTTATGGTGCAGTGCTGGGATTAATAGTGTGAGTGCTATACCCACCCTAGGGCAGGTAGCCTGCATATAATATAAGGGACGTTAAGAGGCTTGCTCTCCCCTCCTCTCCTGTCGCTTTTGCTGTCTTCCACCATCGTGAACTGCTGCCTCTCTGCCATGTGCCACCCTGCTTTGGAGCCAATGGACTATGGACTGAAATCTCCACAAACTGTGAACTAAATAAACCCTTCCTTCTTTAACTTGGGTGTCAGGTGTTTTGTCCCAGCACCACGAAAAGTAACTAAGAAAGAATTTGATACCAGGAGAGGAGTCATTGCTGTGACTATACCTGACCATGTGGTTCAAGAGCCTTTGGGAATGGCTTGTGGGAAGAGATTGCAAAAGTTTGGAGATGCTGGTTGAAAAAGTAGAGCTGGAACATCTTAGGCTGTTCTGTATGGGAGATTTTGGTCAGAGCTCAGAAGACGAGAAGGCGGATAGAAATCCTTCTGATAAAGACCTGGCTTGGAAGTTTCTATTTGAAAGGACTGCACTGGCTATTGGACTCCAGAAGACATGTGTTCTGGCTTCGCAGAAAGTTTATCTGCATTTTACTTGTGTCCAGAGACTTGCCCTAGACTGAGATTAAGGGTGGTGGACTAATTAATCTTGCAGAAGTAATTTCAAGGCAGCTGAATGTTGACGTGGTGGCATGACGACTGTTTGGGGCTTTTAGTCAGATTTATTTTGAGAATCAAGAACAAAGAGCCCAGCGGGATGATTTAAAACATTGTGAGTTTGACCGGAAAGGCAGCTTCAGTAAAGCCGTGGACTGCAAGATAGACATGAGGAGATCTCAGTTGCAGAGAAGGAATAGGAGAATACAGAAAATGGCCTGACAGCATCACAAGAAGCAGCAGGACTCTACCCTTTACAGCCTCAAAACTGCAAAAATGAAAATCTTTGCTTTGAGTAGAAAGCCCCAGAGTACCATGTTCCAGAATTGTGGCATCCTAGAGAATTTTTTCCTCAGAATTGGATTCAGAGTGCTCGGTGATGCAGGTATTCAGCCCTTACAGCCGAGAGAGAGGAAAGCCTGGCTATTGCTCCAGCTGGCAGCAGACCTTGGCATCATCCATGTGGCACTAGTTTTAGGTGCATGCAGAAGTGAAGAGTTGTGGGTTAAGGAAGAATTCCACACAGATTTCAGAAGGCAGCCTAGGAGGCCGTGTAGTGTGCACCTGAGAGGGCAGTGTGTGAAGTTGTGAGTATGAAGCCAAAGGTGCAGTGGACACTCCAGAAGTTTGGAGAAACCAGAAATGTGGATCATCTAAGAAAAATTCCAAAGAGGGAGAAAACTGGGCCTGAGAGAGAAGCCATGAGAGAGCTGCAAACACTGGAAGTGCTGTAGGCATGGAGCCACCCAAGCCCTTTGTAGTTCACGTCTTGCCACAGATTGCCTGGGATGCTGCACATGGACCTGCAGGACTTAATGTTTGCCCTGCTGGAGTTTGGACTTGCTTCGGTCCCATTCCTTTGTATCTCTCTCTTTGTACCTTTTAGAATGGAAATGTCTGTCATGCCATTGAATGTTGAAAGTGTTTAACTTTCTTTTCATTTGTATAGGGGCTCACAGTGGAGAGTTTGCCTTGAATCTCAGAGGAGACTTGGGACTTGGAGTTTTCAGCAACACTGACACTGTTAGGACTTTGGCAACCCTTTGAGATGGACTAAATGCCTTTTGCATAAAGGGGTGTACATGAGTCTTTGTGGGGTCAGGGGCAGAATATTATGGTTTGTGTCTAGATGTCCCCCCAAAGCATCATGCAGCCATGGGGTGGGTTTCTAGAGTTTGTGATTGATTTATGGTTCAATGCTGTGATTAATGGTGTGAGTGCTATGCCTGTCCTAGGGCAGGTAGCCTGCATACAATGTAAGGGACAGAAAGAGGCTTGCTCTCCCTCCTCTCTTGTTGCTTTTGCTATCTTCTACTGCCGTGAACTATTGCCCTTCACCATGCCACCCTGCCTTAGAGCCAGCTGATTGTGAGGTAAAACCTCTACAAACTGTGAGCCAAGTAAACCTTTCCTCCTTTACCTTTGGGTGTTGGGTATTTTGTCCCAGCAACAAGAAAATGAACTGACACTTGGTGATTGTTTCTAGTGCTTGTCTCATGACTTCCTCACCATAACCCTGTCAGTATGGCTGCCTCCTTGGCAGGGGAGGCTGAGGGGACTTTCTGGCTGAGAGAACCTTTAAGGTTCTGCAGCTCATCGTGGTGCGTCCAAATGTCTGTCCTGCGCTTTGTGGCTCCTGCCGTTCCAGCAGGGAGTGTTCCTGAGCATTTTAATGTCTGTGTCCCTGCAGGTATGAGCACATACTCACCGAGCCCGACCCCGTGCCTGCCTACGCACTGAAGCTGCTCGTGGCCATGACAGAGCACAACCCCACCTTCACCAGGTACTGGACTTGTGCGCCTCTTCGTCTCATTTTTTCTCTGTGAGATTTCTGTATGCTTTGAAAATGTGTAGAGAAGAGAGATTCTGAAAGACCAGCGTTTAAGCTGCCAGTGTGGTAACTCTTCGTGTTTCCTGGTGCAGTACCTGTCGTCAGTGCTGTTGTCACATTCGTGACCCCGAGTTTGTATCCTGTGGAGTGGGTGATGCTAAAAATGGTAAATTCTTTAAAGGGGAAAAATGAATACATATTGTTTAAAAGTGTTAACTTATACTTTATTTTGTACAGGACACTTTATTTAAATTTCAGTAGTGCTGACTGACTTGGTGCCGTTCTATTGGTTCACTACTTTTTAAAATAGTGGAGAGCGCTCTTCTCTTGCAGCTGCTGAATGTGACGGTGCTGGTCGCCTTGGCACTGGAGTCCTGGGCTCCTTCAGCCTTGCCAAGGACAGTGTGCTCAGGAGCACAGAGGGCACCAGGGAAGCCAGGTGGAGTGTTCTCGGAGGCGTGTGGGCTTTGGGGTCACAAGACTCGGTGCAGACCCGAGCAGCCAGCTGGTCTTCAACAGTGAAACCATGTGGTCTTCCAAGTTCCTGCCACCTGAAAGGCATTGTTAGGTGCCACCGCCACTGCTGATCCCAGCAAAAAAGAAAGCTGTGTGCAGGGGGTGGGGCACCGCCCAGCCAGGCTCCCAGCGGGCGTGCTTGTGCATGGCGGGGTCTTGGCAGTGCCAGGGGGTCAGGCTGGGGTCTCCTGGGTGCTGGGCTGCGTGGCTCTTGCCAGGCGCGGCCTCCATCTACCCAGGGGTGCTGTGAGAGTGTCACCTTGTTGTCCCATGCCTCCTGGTGGGCAGCTGGGGAACAGAGTGGATGCTTGGCTTAGCTGTTTGGAAGTTCTGTGTTTTCCTGGCCTTTCGGCACCTTACAAAGGCTCCAGAGTCCACATCTGCCCTGCAGAGGACACTGTTGTCTCTTCCCAAGGAGCAAGCTGGTTCTGAGGGGCGGTGTGCATTAGAAGCTGAGGACGAATTGTGGTAGCTTCGTCCTAGACGTCTGACGTCAGGAACCCACGCTGTGTGCCGACTTTATCCTTTCCTGAGTTTGAACAGATTGCGCTTACTCTGTCTTTTTTTGTGTTGTTTGGGTAGCATGAGGCTCAAACCTGGAGCACTCTACACTGAGCTACATCCCTGGCCCCTTGTTATTTTTAGATTTTGAGACAGCATCCTGCTAAATTACTGTGCTGTGTAGTGGTTGTAAACCAATAGTGTTCTGTCCAAGTCTTCTCAGAAATCGCTTTTTCTTTTATCAACATGATATGGAGATCTTTGCACAGAGTATTTATTCTTACTGTTATTTTACATCTTTGCTGCACTGATAGGGGCTTTGCTTTATTTCCCATTCACCTAGAGACTGATAATATTGAATATCTTTTAATGTTTATTGAGTGCAGCTAATTAAAATATGTGTCGAGTTTCCCTCAAACACAGGGCTACTTTTCAGAAGCTGTTCTGCAGAGGATTTCCCTGTAGGCACTTAGTTTTTAAAATGCTACCGTTTTCTGTAACTTAGGTAATTCTACACAAATACAGACTCAAATTACGAGATAGCCATAATACGGACCACTGTGTAACAGTTTCAAAGGGCAGCAGATTGAATACTGGTGCGCAGAGATGCCTGCGCTGCTGTGTTGAACAGATTGGTAATGTGCCTTCTCTCCCTTGTTTGGAGGCACCTGTGCTGTCCCTGGGGTCTCTTGCTGGATTCTGTTCAGATTCTCCTGCCCTAGAAGCAGGTGTCAGGTCTACCCTGTCCTCTTAGGTTTGGGCTTGGGTGGCTGCTGCCCACGGCTCTGTCCACTGCAGCAGGCGCCGTGGCCCCAAGTGGCGGGCACAGAGCTGTCACCAAACTCTAGAGATGGGGGCAGGGCACATGATAAAGAACCAGGCTCGGGGGTTTGTCTATATTTCCTTGACTAGGATTTTTTGTTTGTTTTCTTGAGACAGGATCTTGCTATGTAGCCCAAGTTGGCCTTGAACTCATTATCTAGCCCAGGCTGGCCTGGAACTTCAAGGGATCCTTCTGCCTCAGCCTCCTGAGTACTGGGATTATGGCTGTGTGCCTGCCTAGGATTTTAAGAATGCCCTTGAAGTGAAATATTTTGAATGGGTCATACATTGTTTTTAGGAGAAGAGATCAGCATAAGAAGACAGAAGCCTTTCCTTCCCGGCCCGGCATTTTTCACCCTCGTCTGCTTTACATTCTCCTCTTCCTTACATCTGTGTCCTGATGCAAGCTAATACGAACATGCATTTTCTCTTTTCTTCCTTGTATACACAAGTAGCGTACTGTGTATGTGTTTTCTGCCCCTGGGTGTTTTTCACTTAGTGGTATATTTCCAATGGTATACCATTATGATACTGGAATATTTTTATAGGCTGCACATATATGTTACATAGGATACTGTGTAACAGTTTACAGGGGCAGCACAAATGTTGAATACTGGTCCACAAAGATATCTGAACCATTTTGGTGAATGGCATTATGGACCTCCTCCTCCCTCACTTCATAATTTAGTAGCATCTGAAGGACAGCCTTGAGCTGATTCTGATCTTGTGATGTTGCAGGCAGCGAGCAATCTTGTGTATCTGGCACTTGTGCACTCCGGGGAGATGGCTGCGGCGACTGTGTCTGTGTGAGTTGTCGCATCGCTGTTGGCAGCACCAGCCAGCACCACTTTCAGGCAGTAACAGCTTATGCGAAGGAGAAGGCACGCATCGTCTGGGTCTTTTGTTGACAGATGCATAGATTGCATTTTCTACATAGAGAATATTTGTTTTTTCCTAATAGTTTACTATTTAAAACGAAGCTCTAATTAGTGGCAGGACTTTCGTCCCGTCATATGCTAACTATTTGGACGTGGAACTGGATCATTAAAGGTGGAAGCCGGTGGTGCCCAGCTTGTGGGTACATTGGTGTCACCCTGGACTCTGTCAGGTGAGTTCCAAGTCCCTGACTCCACCCAGGCCGATGAAATCCGGGCTGTAGGTCTAGAGGTCATTGTTGGAGTTCCCCAGCTGAGTAAACATGCAAATAAGATTCAGCCGCTAATTGGAGGATTTAATTGTGCAGTTGCCTGCTAAGTTGCCTGCAGTCTAAGTCGTGCCAGTTTTCTCTCTACCAGCTGTGCAAGAATGGTGCTTGCAGTAAACCCTTGATGCAGTTCACGGGTGTGTGATCTTTGGCTTTCTTTTTTCAGGAAGTAGGGAGCAGATGGCAGTTTGGGTCACCATACTGAGCAATAGCCCTGCCACCTTTACTTTTTTTTTTTTGTTGTTGTTGTTGCTGTTTTTTTTTTTTTTTTTCCCCCCCTGGTACCAGGGATTGAACTCATGACCTTGCGCTTGCCAGGCAGACACTGTGCCGCTGAGCTAAATCCCCAGCCCCCATTTTTTTTTTTTTTTTGCAATAGAGTCTCGCCATTTCACTCAGTTGCTGAGTCTGGATTCAACCTTGTGATCCTCCTGCCTCAGCATCCCAGAGTGCTGGGGTTAGCAGGTGTGCACCACCACGCCCAGCTGATCTCTGATATGTGAAAATTGAGCCTTTTATGTTAATTTCTAGTTTTATTGCATTGAGGTCATCGGATAATATTTCTTATGTATTTATATCCAACATGTGATTTGCTTTGTTTTTATGAGTGTCCTATGTTTTATGTGTTTACTGTGCCAGAACAAACGTAGGCCTAGTTCTGAGAGCTGTCACCTCTAATTTGGTGTGTAAAGTCGTCCTATGTTAGAGGTCCTCCCCGTGACTTGTAATAGCAATTTTAGGTAAAATGCTTGACTTAGATGTTTATCAAGAGGAGGACTCCTGATTGTTTCATGCAAACAGTCTCTAGCAATATGAAATAACCAGCAACTGTTGATTGTGATTTAATCTGCTGGTCGGGGCCGTCAGCATCCTGTGCCTAGAGGACGTGCATCGTAACTTACTAGGCTTGTGCGTGTGGGCTTAGGGCCCTAGACGGCAACCCCTGTAACGAGACCCCGTGTCCGGTGGAGCACTGCTCTTACTGTGTTCACTCTGACCTCATCGGACCCTCAGCGGATAAGGGAACCCGCAGAGACCGCTCACGGCACCTGGGAGCACTTCCTTCCCCTTCAGAGAGAATCGCGCGTGTGTCCAGTCTGCACCAGGTGTTGCTGTGCCTCGCTGTCCCCCGTGCCTGGCGTGGGAGCCTCCTGCTTCAGGGCAGCGGCGCAGGGAGCAGAGCTGGGGGTGACGCTGGGGTCGCAGGCGCAGGGTCCTCCCGGATGGATGGCGACTTTCTCTGGGTCCGGGTCTGCTGTTCGGCCCTTTCCACATGGTGCACTCGCCGTCCTCTGAGTTAGGAAGTGCGAGGCTCTGGAGCCCTGGGCCACATGCGCTTCCTTCCTTGTGGACCCCTGGTGTTGGGTGTTCCGTTACAGGAGCAGGAAGTGCAGGGGCAGGGATGAGGCTGCTGCCCTGGCGAATCTAGTCCACCAGGATGTGCTCTGTCGCAGCAGACAGGCAAGCTGCTCTCCCGTGAGTGCGCCTGTGCCATGGGGAGTGTTTGCTCCCACGCCCTGCCCTTGTCCCATCTTAATTTTGTCTTCAGTCGCACCCAGCCTTCCTCTCCAAGAGAGCAGTCCTTCCATTAGAGCTAATTAGCTCTCAGCCAATCTTTCTCAGCAAAGAAATTTTTAACTTTTTTTTTTTGAGACAGGGTCTTGCCATTGTAGTTCAGACCAGCCTTGAACTCATGTGTAACCCTGGCTGGCCTTGAACTTGAGGCAATCCTCCTATCCTGCCTCAGCCTCCCAAGTGCTGGGATTACACCACGCCTGACCCCTCAGCAAAGAAATTGAATTTTAAGTCAGGATTTTTTGGAGCAAAATTTAGTTCTTTTTCTGCATTATAAAAAGTTTATGTTCTGAGTCTAAGAATTGTCATAATTTAAGTTTGCCCAGAATGTTAG